GAAAGTCATGATACACTTTTTACTATGTTTTTCTATGCAAAAATGCATCATGACTTTTCCAACAACTCAGTAGTTATTTGGTAGGCAAAGGGAACCATTTCAGTAAAGGAATCCTTTAGCAGGACAGTAGATTGCTCAGAGGAGGACTTTAGTAAGTAGTTTGGCAACATAATTAGAGGAAAGATTAGAAGAAATGAGATTAGTTAGAAGACTATCATAAGGCCCTCAATTTAGGTGAGAATGGGAAGAATGCAGCAGAAATGGTCTCAGCAGTATGAAGGAAAAATAAGTGACTGAAAGAGAACCTCACTGAGGGCAGATAGTGTGGATTTATTGAATGAGCCCGTTGAACTTGGTGTCAAGACAATCCAACAATAAGAGAAGAAAGACTTCTCACACACTACTGCTTGCAAGTTTGTTTGTGTTAATACCCTATGAACTTTAAAACTTACTAAAGGTTAGGATATTGGCATGCTTTTTTATCATCTTTCCTTGTCCACTTCTAGCACAACAATTCACGGGACAAAGTAATCAAATTTACCTATGTTTTCAGTCTGTCTATCTGTAGACAGTTTAGGGCCATCACATGTTGAAGATTATTAGTTCTACTAACTATCAGTAGGTAGAAACTCTGATAACTTTGTCCCTATGTTGTTTTCACATTTCTTTTATTGTAAGATGTAACTAGGGTGGCCAGATGTCCAGGGTTTCACTGAATAGTCCCAAATTAGACCTGTTCTTCTAGTTCAGTTACTCATAATATCTTATTTTCATTCTAAAAATGTTCACACAATAAATTCTGTGGATATATTACATATATCTACAGAAAAGTTCTAAATGTGTAGTCAGTTTAAAGAATAACTAAAAGGAACATACGTATATAACTACCACTGCAGTCAAGAAATGGAACTCTGGGACCAGCATTTGATGTAATGGCTATGTCACTGGACTCCCATGTAGTTGACTGTGGTTCGAGTCCCGGACCCAGTGGCTTAAAGTCACTCTGGGCGCATGTGCGTGCGTGCCCAAGATCCCGAGAGGAGAATGGAGAAGGGATTGCAGCGTGGCCATCCCACCTGGGGGGAGGTGATTTCTCACTTTCTGTTTCTCTGTCTCTCTCTTTGCCTTTCTGACAAGCATATGCACCCTATAGCAAAAAACCTCTCCAAAAAAAAAAAAAAGAAAAGAAAAGAAAAGAAAGAAAGAAAGAAGGAAAGAAAGAAAGAAAGAAGAAAGAAAGAAAGAAAATGTTTGCTGAATAAAAATAAAGGCACACCCTACTTGTCAAATTTAGGTATCTGAGCCTCACCTAGAGGATAGAAAGGATTATGAAATGCTAAAATGAGATTCTCACAGTAGTGGTTCTGTCAGAGCTTTAAATAGTAACCTGTACTAGGAAACCTGAAAAGCTCAAGACTGCCCTTTAACGCTTCTATTGCTCAGAAGCCAACCTGAACTGTGTCCAAAGGCCTCTGGGGAAAAGGGATTAAAAACCCAAAGCCCTGAGCTATTCCAAGGTGAGGAGTCTAAAGGTAGACCTTTCTATAATAAAGACCCAAAGGCCTGCTGAGAATGAATTCGAATTGGACTAGCCCACTCCTGAAATTAAACTTGGGTCCAGGTTTTGGTCATCCAAGCCTTGACACTAGTTTGAGGTGGGCCTGGGCTGAGAATGAATGTTTCCATGTGGGAATGCCTTCTTCTGACAAGCATATGCACCCTAAAGAAAAAAACCTCTCCAAAAAAAAAAAAAAGAAAAGAAAAGAAAAGAAAGAAAGAAAGAAGGAAAGAAAGAAATAGAACTCTGACAGCCACTAGAAATCTATTTCCCATTTACAGCCTAGACTCTGCCTTAGAGTTAACTGTTATCCTTATTTTTATAACTGTTTTTATGCTTTTTAAAATATTCAAAGTTAACTTTCAAAGCCTAAAATCCTTACAAGAATTCTACTCCAATTTTTTTTCATTATATATATAATATATATCTTAAATGTTGTAGCCAGTACGTGGCATAGTGGTTAAAGTGCTGGACTCCTACATGACAAATCTCAGTTCAAATCCCAGACCTGGCTTGAAAACCACGCTGGGTGCATGTATGTGTGTTCCAAAAAAATACCAGGAGGAGAATGGAGAAGAAGGGATTGCAGTGTGACCCCTGGTGGTGGGGAGGGAGCATTTCTCACTTTTTCTCTCACTTTCTGTCTCTCTTTCTGGTGAGTGCACACACCCTATGGCAAAAAACTTTAAAAATGTTTATTTTTATCTATGGGGCCAGCAGATGGCATAGCAGTTGCTGGACTCCCACATGGCCAACCGCAGTTTAAGTCCTGGACCCAGTGCCTTGAAGCACACCACATGCGTGTGCATGTGTGCCCAAGATCCCCAGTGGAGAATGAAGCAGAAGGGACTGCAGATGACCTGGGGTGTGATTTCTCACTTTCCCATTCACTGTCTCTCTCCATGCCCTAAGGCTGAAATATATATATATTTTATATATATACATGTGTGTGTGCGTAGCTTATATATGGGTAATTTCATATTTATGTTTCTAATAGGTGCCTTTGAGAATATGTATTTTAATATATGACTATGAGGTTGTAGGTAATCAACCTAAAGGTAAATGTTGTATTTTTATTAGTCATAATTGTACAAACATTTATCAAACAAAAAGGCACAGTTCTTGGGCATTAGAATTTGATAGTCTAATGTGTGCGTAGCTTATATATGGGTAATTTCATATTTATGTTTCTAATAGGTGCCTTTGAGAATATGTATTTTAATATATGACTATGAGGTTGTAGGTAATCAACCTAAAGGTAAATGTTGTATTTTTATTAGTCATAATTGTACAAACATTTATCAAACAAAAAGGCACAGTTCTTGGGCATTAGAATTTGATAGTCTAATAAACACCATACAAATCCGTTAGAGCAATAATGTGAATCATGCACAAGACATTGTTTGAAGGTATTACTGGGCCAGCAGGTGGCATGGATGTTAAGACGGCTAGATACCACAGAACTGATTCTGTGGTTTGAATCCTGGACCCGGAAGCTTGAAAATCATACCGGGAGTGTGTATATGCATATACGAAACCCTGAGAGGACAGAGGAGAGGGGATTGTGGCATGACTTTGTCTCTCTCCAGCAAGCATACACACCGTACAGCAAACTAAATAATACTAAGACTAATAATATAATACCTAGCTTTTGGGGTAATAAGGAAGACTTGCTAGAGGAGATGAAATGTCATTGAGTACTGAAGACAAGTAAGAATGAGGGAGGTGATGGTGCTAAGTGAAGTGGGGGCAGAACACAGACTCACTTTCACAAAAAGGAAATGGTCCAAAGACAAGAAAAGTATTAGGTTACTGTAACTTGTACTCTGCAGTGGGAGCACACAGAGTTCTCTGCTGTCTGTTGGGACAAAGGACTGTCTTTTAGATGTATTTTTTCAGGACATTGTGAGAGATGTAGTTCAAGAAATAAACAAAGGTGAGATCATGAAGGGCATTGATTTTTATAATGTGGAATTTAGCCTCATCTTGAGGGTAATGAGAAAACTTCAGAGGGTTCTAAGCAACAAGCAGCAAGGCAACACAAGATGTTTGCATTTTTGAAAGGTCGTTCTTGCTGCCGCCTTAGAGTATGTAAACGGGCAGTTCTAAGAGCATGGAAACTAGTCTGGAGACTTTCGTGGCCATCTGCTTGTGAAATGATGATGACTTGATCCAAGCCAAAGGACATGAGGGTGGAGAGAAGTAAATAGACATAAGAAACAATTAGAGATAGAATCAGAGAGAATTAATTATTGATTATATGAGGAATTTGAGGGAGAAATAAAAGATGCTGGTGCAATTTCAGCTGGACATGGGAAGAACAGTGACAAGTCTGTTAAGGAAATGGTTTTTGGTTTTGCTAGAGGGTACGTGTGCTCTCCAGAGAGACCAAGATAGAGGGAGAAAAGAAAGTACCCTCCACGGGGAATGGTCACACTGCAATCCTTTCTCCTCCATCTCTTCTCCCTTTTGTGATTTTGGGAATCCACACACACATACGACATGTTTCTCAGGCCTCCAGATCCAGGACTAAGTACAAGGTTGGCCATGTGGGAACAGGGTGCCTTAACTACAAGGCTATAAAACCAGCCTTTACAGGGCAAGTTTTTAGTATAGCATTGAATGGCTAAATTTGAAGTGTCTATAAGATATCCATAAATGATCATTAAGAAGTTAGCTTTCTCCAGAGAGAAATTTAGGGCAGAGATAGACATAAGGCGGTAATAACTTCTAGGTGACATGTAAAGCCATACATAGGAATTTAATTAATTATGATAAAATGTCTAAGATGGATAATGTGAATATATGTGTTCATTGTCTTATATTTGTAACATTCTTGGGAAATTAGTCTTTTGGTGTTAAGTTTCTAAAAAATGTTTGTACAAAACATTTTCATGATCTTTTGTTCTTTGGGATTTTTTAAATCAATTTTATTTAGATTGTTTTATTTTTGTTTTTCATTATTCAGATTTTGGCTTTAATAGTAGTATTTATCAGTTATACAAATAAATACAGCAAAATCAAGTTATTACAGAACTTTCAAATTTTAAGCAGTATACATAAATTTATTAGGAATTAGTAAGTTAAGCTAAATGTAAAAGCCCCTAGGTATATGTTACTAATTTCTCCCAGTTCTAGCAAAGAATATATAGAGAAATGTTTTTTAAAAATACTATCTATGTTTTAAATCATTTTAATAGAAAATATTTGTTATTCATTTTCTGCTTATTTTTGGCTTATAGAGGTACTTAAAATCCTATAAATCTAATAATTTAGATGTATGTGTAATATTTTCAGATATAAGTGTAAAAATTTAAATAAATTTTTTGTTTGTTTGTTTGCTTAGATTTTTGCCACAGAGCACGTGTGCTCACTAGAGAGATAGAGAGACAATAAAATTATAATAATTAGATATAATGTATAATATATGTTTTCTTTATAGGAAAATGGTTCTCCTGAAGAACACGCACTCTATGTTTGGGACCATTTCATAGCCCAGTCTGCAGCTGAGAATGTATTTTTTGTTGCTCACAGCTATGGAGGACTTGCTTTTGTTGAACTGGTAAGTGCACATTTAATTCTTTGTTTTAAAAAATATATATTTATTAAATTTTATTTCTTCTTATTATTCTTATTTTGCTGTAGGGCATGTTTGCTCACCAAGAAAACAGAGAGAGGGAAAGTGAGAAACCAAACCACCAGGTCAGGGACTCAAACCACTGTTAGCCATGTGGGAGTCCAGTGCCTTAAGCACCATGCCACTGCAGTCCCCTTAACTCTGTTTTTAATTCCCATCTCTTGATAGTTTTTTTTCCCTCTCTATTCCCTTTTTCTTGATATTATTACTTAAGTTGCTTTATATAAAGGATGAAAATAAAGTATTTTGAGTAAGTAATTTTATGGTCAAAAAGAGTATACTGGTTTAGGGACCAATAGATTGTATAATGGTTATGTTGCTGGACTCCCACATAGTCTAACACGGTTCAAGTCCCAGACCCGGTGGCTTAAAATTCTTGCTGAGCATGTGTGTGTGCATGACCAAAATCTTGAGAGGAGAATGGAGAAGAAGGGATGCCATCCATCCTGTGGAGTGATTTCTCACTTTCTGTCTGTCTCACTCTAATGAGTGCATGCACCCTATAGCAAAAAATCTCTCTTAAAAAGAAAAAGAATATACAAATTTATTTTCTGATGACAGAGCTTCTCAGTGTAAATAAGAAAGCTTTTTGCCAGTTCCTTGTTTACATACTACCTAGACATTTCTGCATTGTAATCCAAGTTTCTATACATTCCATGATACTTACATTTCTTATTTTATGTGTACACCAGTGAAACTTGTGTTCTCTGTAAATTGTTCAAAATTTGAAGAGACTCTGAGTATTTGGGAATATTTTGACAAGTTTTAGCTGACTTGTATCTCTACCAGTTGGTACTTGATACCTAATCAAAATTTACATGATTGGTATTAGAGCTATCAGAAAGCTTCCATTAATCTTTGATAAACATGTATTTGATCATTTAGGTTCTAATAGATCACAGTGAACATTTAAAGCAGTCACAGAATTGATTGTCTAATTTTTCTGTGTCTAGACTCTGGTGTGTGTTTCTCTTTGTCATGGAAATTAAATATATTTAGGTGGCCTTTTCAACCTTCCTGCTCCATCGTATTGCTTACCCACATGATTTAGATATAAAACTGATGGTGACACCTGACACCTGAGAATAGCTGACCTAAATCTTCAAATGCTTGTGTCCTCTTAGAATCAATAAATAAGTTAAATTTTTTATTTCTTAAATTGATTCCAATGTTTAGAGGTTATTTTCAGGTCCTTCTAACTCTGGTATAATAACTTATTTCTTTTGATATACACAATGGTATCTTAAGATTGTTCTTTAATATACTAGTATCTTTTTAAAAAAACGAATGTTTTTCAAATAATTTATTTCAACCCATATATATAAATATATACATAAATACATATAGATATCTTATTTCTTTGTAAGTCCTTTCATTCCTTAAAAAATAAAACTTCTTGACTTATAGCGTGACTTAAAACCTGTCTAAAAGCCTGCAAGGCTAATCGGATTTCAAATTTCTGTAAAACAAAATCCCGTTTTTTATTTTATGACAGTTTTTAAAAAACCTTTGTGCACCAAATGTGAAACTTAATTGCATTTTGGACAGTTTTTAAAATGAACTCAAGATGCCAAGGTTAACAGATGACCAGTGTGTCAGTCCTATTTTGCCTGTCCTTCTTGTCACACACTGGTGGATATTTCTCCACTTTTGTTCCACTTTAATATAAAGCACACAGATGTTTCAGAACAAGACTTGGCTTCTGACCTTGAGGCTATTAGGGTCAGGGTCCTCAGGGCCTGTGAAATTATCACAAGCTGAGCTAAAGTTTTTCTCCATCACAGTAAGTAACCAGTAAGTAAGAAGTTAAAAAGGAGCTTTGTCAGAGAGACAAGATGGTCTCAGTAAGGGTCAGCTTCTGTAGTCTGCTGTCTCTGCAGGAGGCACATGCATGGGAGGAGGAATATAATATAACCACTGGCACATCACATATCTGTCAGGCATCGCCCGGGCTGAGAAGTCTATTTAACGTAACACACCTTGTTTAGGTTTAAGATATTAATGGTGGTGATCTCAACTTCATATATTTGCTACTTTCTGTGAAATAACTTTGATTGGGATGGATAGCAGCAGAATACAGATGGTAGCAACTGATGAAAGACTGACAGCTCCCTCACCTAATGAAATGGATTCCTTGAAGCAAATAGCATTATACAGTGATGAGTTGTACTTTCATTTGTGATCAATTTGATGAATATATTTAAGTCCACCAAGTTTCTGTTTAAAAAGACTTGAAAAACATGACTAAGGAAAGAAAAAACATTGACATATTTTTAAACATTTTGCTTTTGCCTAAAATTAAATAATATTCTTCCCATTATCACCAACATTCTTAGGAGAAGAGTCATGATGTTTAGAATGGTGCCAAATACTCATTTTTTAGGGATTTTTTTCAATAAAGGTATAATATATAAAATTGTTTTACATGGATTCAGAATTTTAGTATTAAGTTTACAAGAAAGTGGATTGTGAACAGTGATATCTAAATATTAAATTATATTTTCGTTTTTCTCACAATAATGCATCAGACATTAAATCCTCTGGATATCAGTAAAATTTAAATTGGATTAAATTGTTGTAAAATTCGACTCCTCATTAAAAATTCTGTACATGCACACACACACACACACACACACACACACATACACTCTCTCTTATTAGGGAATAGTCTTAGTTTGTAACATAATGTCTGAATGGATGGAAATTGTTTTTCTACCATCTTCATATAAGTTCACATTCCTCTTCAGGTCACAGATTTTAAGAAAATTTATTTTAAATTAAACTGTGTGGAAGTAGGGTTTCACCAATAAATACTGTTACTTAACAGTGCTTATTATTTGAATAGCAGGTACCAGTTAGGACCGCTAATGAAATGTGTCTTGCCATTGCTAAATTAAATTTGAGGACCAGCTATGGTGGTGCAGGTGGTGAATCAGTACTGCACAATACTAGAGCCACGTGGAAGGCCTGGATGCAGATCCTGCTTTGACCTGAAAACACTGTGGTCTTGACTGGTTGGGAGACTTGGGAGGAAAATCATGTCATGGCAAGACTCTGTCAAAGTTCTCTTTCTCTCTCTCTCTCTCTTCCCTACTCCTTTTTCTGTCTCTATCTCTCATGAAAAATCATTTTCAAAAATTAGAATTGTGGGACCAGCAGTTAGCGTAATGGCTATGTTGCTGGACTCCCACATAGTCGACCGCGGTTTGCTTCCCGGATCCAGTGGCTTAAAACTCAAGCCGGGCGCGTGTGCGTGCGTGCCCAAGATCCTGAGAGGAGAATGGAGGAGAAGGGATTGCGGTGTGACCATCCCCCCTGGGGAATGATTTCTCACTTTCTCTCCCTCCATCTCTCTCTATCTGTCTGGCAAGCGCACGTGCCCTATAGCTAAAAAAATTTAAAAATACAAATTAAAATTAAAAAAAAATTACAATTGTGTGGGACCATCAGGTAGTAGTTAAGGCTCTGCACTCCTACATGGGTGACTGAGGTTCAAGTCCTGGACCCAGCTACTTGAAATTCATGCCAGATGTGTGTACGTGTGTGCTCAGAATCCCTAGAGGAGAATGAAGGAGAAGGGACTGTGATTTGGCCATCTTTACTGAGGGGATGATTTCTCACTTTCTCTTCTCTGTTTCTCTCTGTCTTTCCAGCAAGTACAATTGCCCTATAGCAAAAATCTCTCTCTCAAAAAAAAAAAAGATTTAAAATTGCATGTAATTAATTATAATTTAAAATGTACATGCTTCCAATAGATATCTGAAGATAACTTACCTTTAAATTTACAGTACGAAATAGTTGTACAGCTTTCCTATTTGGCTGATAGTTGTTTTTGAAAACTGGGAGCATAATTTGCTATTGATCCTAACTTAAAGTGTTGAATTTCTTCTGAAGAATATGTTATAGTCAGAGATTTGTTTGCAAAACGAATGTTCATTTTTATGGTAGTAAATCATGGAACTTGACCAGGCCTGACCTCATAAAAACAGTATACTATCTACAGTAATAATGAGAAAAGCGATACGAAAAATATACCTTCTGCTACTTTTACTCTCATATGTTAACAACTCACATTTTCAATCCTCTAATCTTTCTGTGGTCCTAGTAAAAATAGATGTTGAAAAGACAGCTCTGGGGGACCAACAGATGGCATAATGGTTATATCACTGGAATTTCCACATAGTCAAGCACAGTTCAAGTCCCATAACTAGCTGCTTAAAACTCACACTGGGCCCGTGTCCATGCGTGCCCAAAATCCTGAGAGGAGAATGGAGGAGAAGGGATTGCAGCATGGCCATCCCCCCTTGGAGGTGATTTCTTGCTTTCTGTCTCTCTCTGTCTCTCCAGCAAGAGCATGTGCCCTATAGCTAAAATCTCTCTATAAAAATAATAATAAGATAGCTCTGATGTCAGTTCAAGCATATAGTCATTAAAGGCAAAAGGAAATAACTATTATTTTATGACTTGATCATAACCTTTTGAAAATAACAATACATATGAAGGGATCTTCAAACAGTTAATGGGTGGGACCAGCAGGTGGTGTGATGGTTAAGGCGCTGGACACTCCCACATAGCCAACCATGGTTCGAGTCCCAGACCTTGTGGGCTTGCTTTCTCGCTTTTCCTCTCTCTCTTTCTGTGTCTCTCTATGGTCAAATTAAAATAAATGAATGATTGAATAAAATTAAATAATAATTATTTTTTAAGAAAAGAGTTAATGGGAAATTCATATTATGAACCATGCATGGATTTCAAAAATATTTTGCACCAAAATAAACTCAGACTTTAATTTTATTTTCCATGAACTTCTTAAGTCTCCTGCCTGTGTTATCTCCTCTGTATATTTAAAACAATGCTAGTATGTAAAGTTAGTTATTACACCATTCTTTACAAAGCCTTAAGTTTGTCTCAGAAGTTTTATTTTT